GCATGTATCTGTGTTTTTTTTTAGCTTCTATATTTGTAACAATGTTTCAAACTGTAAGCTCAGAGGCCTGCAGCGGCAGGCGGGGAACGTTGGAGTCCTCCATCACAGAAGCAAGCAAGCCTCATGTTAGTTTCAAGCTGCCTGGCTGCCGGCCGTCATCTTGGCTGGCAGTTAATTTGCATATCTCGCTGATTAGCCAATGGGAAGGGTAGTGGTCGTTCACCAATTACCATGTTTCTCTTTTATTAGATAGGATAATAGAGGCTTGGTGCATGAAAATTCGTGCACTCAGGGAGAGGGGGTCCCTCAGCCTGGCCTGTACCCTCTAGCAATCCAGGAGCCCTCGGGAGATTCCACCTCCCAGCTTAGGCCTGCTCTCCAGGAGATTGGGCCTAAGCTGGCAGTAAAACATCCCTCTGGCAGCCGGGGAGCCCTCGGGGGATGTCCAACTCCTGCCACCGATGCTGAGTTTGCAGCGTCAGCCTGGCTTGTGGCTGAATGGATCTCCCCCTGTGGGAGCACACTGACCACCAGGGGGCAGCTTCTACATTGAGCATCTGCCCCTTGGTGGTCAGTGCACAGCATAGCAACTGGTCATTCTGCCCTTAGGTCAACTTGCATATTACCCTTTTATTATATAGGATAGATATTTATGTTCCTCTGTTTTTTCTTTCTTCTTAAAGAAGTCCCTTTAACATTGCTTGTAATAGTGGTTTGGTGGTGATGAACTCTGCTACCTTTTCTTGTCTGGGGAGCTCTTTTTTTCTCATTCAGTTTTAAATGGGAGCCTTGCTAGGTTGAGAACTCTTGGTTGTATATAGGTCCTTGCTTTTTATCACTTCGAATACTTTGTGCAAATTTTCTGTTGAGAAATCAGCTCATAGTCTCATGAGAGCTCCCTTGTAGGTAACCAACATTTCCTCTTGCTGCTTTTAAAATTATCTCTTTAACCTTTGGCATTTTAATTATGATGTGTCTTGGTGTGGGCCTCTTTAGGTTCATCTTGTTTGGGACTCTCTGTGCTTCCTGAACTTGTGTCTTTTACCTTCACCAGGTGAGGGAAATTTTCAGTCATTTTTCAAGGAAGTTCTCAATCGCTTGCTATCTCTTTCTCCTGATGGTACCCCTATGGTGCAGATGCTTTAAACTTCATGTTGTCCCAGAGGTCCCTTAAGCTATCCTCATTTTTTAAAATTCCTTTTTGATTTTGCTGCTCTCATTGGGGTGTTTTCTGCTACCTTGTCTTTGAAATTGCTGATCAGATCGCCACTTCATCTAACCTGCTGTTCATTCCTTCTGGTATATTCTTCATTTCAGATATTTTATTCTTCATTTCTGACTGGTTCTTTTTCATGTTTTTTAAGCTTACTATGTACTTGTTATAGTTCTCATTAAGTTAATTCACCCCCCCCCCCAAGTTCCTTGAGCAGCCTTAGGACCAGTGTTTTGAACTCTGTTTCTGGTAGGTTGTCTCTAATTCATTTTTTTTTCCCCTGTGGATTTCTCCTGTTCTTTAATTGGGGTATGCTTCTTTGTCTCCCCATTTTGAGTGCCTCTCTGTATTTGTTTCTGTGAATTGGGTAGATCTGCTATGTTTCCCAGTTTAGGTAGTAGGTTCTATGGGGCTCAGTCCAGGAATGTCCCTTGTGTGGATTATGTGAGCCCTGCTGTTATAGTTGAGTCTATTGTTTTTGGCCCCTGTGTGGGTGAGGTTGACCCTCAGGGTGGCTGCCTGTGAGAACTGACCCCAACCACGCTGTACTAACTGCTGCGTGGAGGCTGACCACACAGAGGGATTTGCCTCCATGGGGTCTGGTGCCTGCTGAGATCTCCCTTTGGGTGTGTGGCTTGTGGAGCTAATTGGGTTGTGCTTTGACGTGGTCTGAATCCCACAGGTTGTGTTGGTTCTGGGGCCTCTTGGGAGAGTCTCCAGTGCAGGTCAATGTCAGAAGCTGCCTGTGGCTGGCCCTGGGCTGCCTGTTAGGAGCTGCAAAACAATCCATGTTTTGTGGTTGTCTCTATTGTGCCTGGGTGAGTGTGGAATCAGCAAAGCTGTGTCCCAAGGCCGGCTTCCCCCAAGCCCTGGGGATCGGTTAGTCAAAGGCCCAAGGCACCCCAAGACTTTCCTCCACCTGCCTTAGCCTGCTGCTTGCTGTTAGGCTCAGGAACTGAACAAGTTTCTGGTGATATGAGATTTGTGTGAGGTAGGTTCTCAGTGAGTCAATAGGTCAATGCAAGAGCTGTTGAGGATCCAAGCAGGAGTCCCCACTCTCAGGGAAACACTTGTAAGTACATAAATGCCTCGCAATGTAGCATCCAAAAATAAAATGGTGTGCACAGAATTATGGGAGCACGGTGGAGGTGGGGGACCCAAGGTGAGTATAACCTGCATCTACTCCACTGGCTCATATAGGTTCAAGTGCACATTAGTGCTGCGACAGAAGCCACTCAGCAGAAGTTTGAGGGTTCACCAAAGCTAGCTGCCACCTGCTGTGTGCTTGCTGACCTTTTTTGGGGTGTATTCTCAGGGATGGAGGGTGAGACCAGCAGAGTTCCTCGGGCCCAAAGAAACCAGGATTTGGCCATGTGAAGGGATGCCCTGCACAGGAACGGTGGTGCCAGAGTGTGTGTGAGGGAAAAATGGCCCATGCCATAGAGCCACACGCCTCAGTCTCCCCCCGAGCTGTGCGGACCCTCAGAGCCATCCACAGAGTGTGCACTGAGGCCTTGGCTGGCATGAGCTTGGTAGGGCCAGGCAACGGGGAGTCGGGAGGGCGGGACTATTGCATTCCCAGGGTGATGCTATATGGAGAACATCAATCCAGGAATGATGGTGTTTGTGCTCAGTGTTGGAGAGGGACTCAGCACATGGACCCTGGTAGCTGTCCCTTCAGCTCTCTCTTGGCAGCCACACATGATTCCATATTTGCTCCAAGCCGCCTTCTTCTGTGGGAGCCCAGGGTAACTGGCTGCAAATGATATTTTGTGTGTTTGGCCCTTTAAGAGGGCACCTGGGCTTCTCAGGAGACTCCTGCCTCTTCCTAGCAGACAGAACCCGTGCTGGTTTTTACAGCCAGGTATTATGTGGGCTTCTCTTCCCAGCTCTGGTGCTCTGGGCTGGGGAGCCTGGCGACCTGTGCAGCTGGGATAGCCGCCCTCTGGGAGCAGGGCTAGCCCTTTGCCTGTCTCTGCCCTGCCTACCGTGTCAGTGCGGCTTCTTCTGTAAGTCCTTGGTTATAAGACTTCTATTCAACTTGTCTTGAGTTGGTCATTCAGGTTTATTGTTCTATAATTTAGTTGTGATTCCAGTTTGATCCTGGGAGGAGGTTAAGTGTAACTTGCACCTACTCCACTGCCATCTTGGGTCCCCCGCCTCCCCCGTGCTCCCATAATTCTGTGCACACCGTTTTATTTTTGGGTGCTACATTGCGAGGCATTTATGTACTTACAAGTGTTTCCCTGAGGGTCGGGACTCCTGCTTGGATCCTCAGCACCTGGCACTACCTTGCACAAAGACTGAGCATCAGCACAAGTGAGGTCACTGGGTAGGACAAGGCTGTCTCTGTGTGGCAGGCTCTCTGCAAGGAACTGAGCATCTTCAAAGGACAACTGGCCGCTGTACCTCCAGCCCCTCCCCGAAGCTCCCTGCTCCTCACCGTGTGCTAGAAGCTGGCCTCTCGGCCTCACCAGGCATGACCTTGCCTGGCACTGGTCCATACACCCTCAATAGGAATCACACCTTGTTCACTTCGGTAAAATGCCTGGTGCCAGTGCAGTGTCCTAAACTTAATGGTTACATAAGAAATTCCTTGAGGAGCGCTAGCTGGTGAGGTTCAGTGGATAGAGCAGACTGAAGGGTCCCGGGTTCAATTCTGGTCAAAGACACATGCCTGGGTTGTGGGCTCGATCCACAGTGGGGGCCATGCAGGAGGCAGCCAATCAGAGTCTCTCTCATTATTGATGTCTTTATGTCTCTCTCCCTCTCCTTTCCTCTCTGAAATCAATAAAAATATATTTTAAAAAAGAAGAAATTCCTTGAGGAAATTTACCATATGTAGAAAAGTTATAGAATCTCCCAGGAAGTGCCCTGGCATGCCCACTGGAACCAGAACCCTGAACATGTGGCCAAGCCAGCTGTGCAATTACTCCAGGACACTCACCCACCAGTCTTGCTTGCATACACCCAAACACAGTGATTGGAGCATCCTTCTCGTAATCCCGGAAGCCACCGCTCCGCTGAGGTAAGCTCTGAGGCATGTTCAGGTTGGTGCGAACGTAGCGGCCTAGAAAAAGGTCATACGAGGCTATGTGAGTTTCTTGTTTCCTTAGGACTTTCATCGCTGATCCTGACAGCCTCTCTATTTCCATTCCTTTTTGGCCAGAGACTACGTGGAGCTTTCTAGAAAATATCAAGGCCGACACTTTCCTTTGTGAGAATGTCTGGGAATCCACTCCTCTATTCTGCTGACAAAGGTGACAAGAAGTGAAAGTCGTCACCAGACACCCCTCATCAGGGGCTGATCTGAACGGTAAGCCTCCCCATGTGAAACAGGCCTCCTCCAAGGAACATGGAACCAGCGTGAGTCGGTGAATTGAGGAGGGCTCCGGCCATGGAATCGGGATGCCCCTTCCTGCCTCTGACTTGGCCATGTGACCTGCCTTTGGCCCCGGTGTCCCAGTTTACAGACTGGAGACAAGAACACTTACCTGTCCCCTAACACTCAAGACAACCAAGGAAGGGCTATGAATGAAACACACTGCAGGCTTTTCTACAGCCCACTTAGCCAGAAACGAGCACTCCATCTAGATCAGCGGTTCTCAACCTTCCTAATGCCGCGACCCTTTAATACAGTTCCTCATGTTGTGGTGACCCCCAATTTCATTGTTACAAATTGAACATAATTAAAGCATAGTGATTAATCACAAAAACAATATGTAATTATATATGTGTTTTCCGATGGTCTTAGGCAACCCCTGTGAAAGGGTCGTTCAACCTCCAAAGGGGTCACGACCCACAGGTTGAGAACTGCTGATCTAGATAAAGGTAGCTTGACTGTGCCCTCTAGAGGCAACGATAGGCATAGCAATGCTGAAGAGGACAAATAGCTCCTCACCTTTGGCATCAAAGCACTGGGATAGCCAGTACTTCCCAAAGACGACATCCATCCTCTCGCCGTGCCGACACACGAAGAGGCATCTCTTCTGGGGGCCAGGCTGGCTACCTGCCCTCAGAGGCTGCAGGTGAGGAACAGCTGTTAGTGGAGAGAAGACAGTGGACAGGCCCGGGCCAGGTGCAGGCCAGCTGAGCTCCAGAGCGGGTTCTGCAAATGTATGACTTGGCCTGTCCTGCAGACCTCACAGGTTATTCTGAGGCTCAAATGCGATGAACTGCAGTGCTTTGCAAAATCAGAAGGGTTAGAAAATGGCCTGATTTATCAGTGGGACTGCTATGGTCAGTAGGAGCAGTTACTGCTTAGAGGTGAAACTAGCTGGCACACAGAGAAAGCCACTGGTGGGACGGCGTCCTCCCCTCTGCAAAGGCCTCTTCAGCTCCCTCAGGGAGTGAGGACCCTCATTACCACAAACACGTCTGCCTCACGTCTATGTGCCTGGTGTCAGACCACATGGTCCAGTGGTCTCCTCCAACAGTGAGGGCCTGCCTTCCTGCTCTAACCATGTTTAGGCTCTACTGTCCAACTCATACATGTTGGTGCTCCCAGAAACGGTTCTACGTCAGGTGATGAAACAGGGTCTGGTCAAAGGCATGTCCAGATGACGTTGGTTTCTACAACTGCCGGGTGGGTCATGGTAGATGTCCTTCCATGCCTTCTTTCTGAACGATTCCCTGTTTCCCTAGGCTGGCCAGCATTTACCTTGGTGCCCAAGGAGGAAGTTAATATGTGGGGGTGGCATACCTTCCCCATATCTTCCCTTCCTGTTTTCTAATTCAAGCCCTGGGCTCTAGCCAAAGTGATCTAGTCTCTTGATCCTCAACATGTTTGAACTTTCAACTTGCCTTTGTATTGTTCAAACTACTCTCCCAACTCTTCATTCTGCAAACTTTCTGACATATACGCTTTCTGACAAGCGCTCCAATGTACACTGAATACTCACTGTGCACCAGGTACTGTGCTAACAGCCTTCTTCTTGCCTTTAATGTTTTTCATTAAAGTATAGTTGATATACAATAGTGTATTAGTTTCAGGTGTACAACATAGTGATTTGACACTTATATACCTTATGGTGTATAAGTAACCATCTGTCACCATACAGAGTTATGATATTAATCACTATATTCTCTGTGCTTCCTAATACATCTCCATAACTTATCTATTTTATAACAGGATTTTGCACCTCTGACTGCTCTTCACCGACTCCCCTGCCCTGTTTCCTCTCATCCTCACCACGGCCTACGACACTGATACAGCGATTGCTGCTGCCCGTGCTGACATGCTCCCCTCTGCGAAGAGACTCCTGACAGCCGAGACCAGATGCTGGTGGTCCTGTCAGGACCTATCTGGCTCCTCTTGTCTCCAGTGTGTATGTATGTCAGCGGCCTCAGCCTCGGTAACAGGTGCTCAGGGGACCTGGAGTGCTGCTGCTGGCGTGCCCTGGTGGCAGCCTCACCTGCGAGGGCGGGCAGACGATGGTGAGGGGCGCCATCTCCCCCAGGCCCTGGTCCTCGTAAGACCGCCTGTCCAATATGCCGTCACCGAATGGGAGTGCGTTGGAAGACGATGCATTTAAGATGGAGTAAGAACTGCAGAGGAAGATAAGGAAGAAGGTCACTGCGTCCGCTGGGAGTCCTCAGCCCGGACCAGCAGCAAACGCTCCCTGGACAGGCCTGGGTTGGGGAAGCTCAGCAGGGGGCCCCCTTCCTGGGATGCACATCTTGCTTCATGCTGACGTCAGCTGTTAATCCATTAGGGGCAGATGGCTTCTCTGTTTGGAATAGACGAACTCACCCCCTGGGCAAGACAGGCCTGCATCCTGTGCTAAGACGCCATAGGCATGGTCTATCAGGGGTGGGCAAACTTTTTGACTCGAGGGCCACAATGGGTTCTTAAACTGGACCGGAGGGCCGGAACAAAAGCATGGATGGAGTGTTTGTGTGAACTAATATAAATTCAAAGTAAACATCATTACATAAAAGGGTACGGTCTTTTATTTCAATAGTTTTATTCATTTCAAACGGGCCAGATCCGGCCCGCGGGCCGTAGTTTGCCCACGGCTGGTCTACACTGAGGACGTGGAAAGAATAATGAAGTGTCAATTTTGTACCATGTTTCCACCTATTTTTCAGGCTCAAAAGAAATAAATAATTCCT